AGCTCATCTTCCTACAATTATTCAAGAGAGAACACGTCGGTCATAAAACAAAAAAAAACATATCGTGAAATTTTCAAACCCAAAAATATACCGAACATAAATATATTGAGTATAAATAAAAAAAACAGGTGTGAGGCCTCAGAGAAGTAACTAAACCAACCAATGATTATGTCACAACATGCAGACCATAGACCTTATAAAAAAATGAGTTATTGGTTTCCCTTAACCCAAGTGGGACCAACATCCAGTGGCACATGTGTTTATCACAAAAAAAGGTCATCTAGTAGATCCTCATAAACCGATGCACCGACAAGAAGATAGGACATCAGTTGTCTTCATTAGAATTTCACATGTAACACCAACGTGTAACCTGCGGCCTGTGTCACAAGTGCATATCACCAAGAAAGGTCATCATTGTGGATCCTCATAAACCGAAGCACAAAAAATTGGAGAGAATTTCAGTTGTTTTTATTAGAATTTCACATGCAACACTAAAACAACTACAAATTGATCATCCAGAAAAAACTCATAAGGTATGTTTCATCATTGACCTCACAAACCCACAGAAAAAAAAAATATAACATAAAAGCCCCTCAAACATGTTAATATCATAAAATTGAAAGTTACAATGGAACAAATGCGTAATATAAAAGCCCCTCAAACATTTTTCACAACATCTACTACTTTAATGACAACATTTTTCGCATATCATTGTCCGGAAGATAAATAAAATGCAAATATATCCACTACAAACCGCAAATAATAAAACCACCAAATAACAAAGACTTATTTGTCAGTCGAGACACGTAAATATTCAACAAGCAGTTCAGGTTGCAGCCTCATAAATATTTGTCTGCGGGTCGGTCCTCGGGCAATTTAACACATTTTAAATAAAAGGTAGGATAAGCCATAATTTTTGGAATTGCATCTAGAACTACAAAAAAATCATCGATGGTGGTGTCAGCTGTAGCAACAGGTTGCGGAGTTGTAAATGTTTCTATCAGTCTATCTATAGAGCTATTCACGAAAACATCTTTTCCTTTTGTCCTTTTTTTCCAATCTGCGCCTCTTTGATTGGCACGTAGACTCAAGTTCCCTCAGGTTTATGCCCGGCCCTTCATCAGAACCCTTAACCTCCTCGGGTGGCAGTCACATGAGATGTCTGCAAACCCTTGCTCACTTGGTTGAACGCATGCTGACCCGTTACGACAACTTTAAACATTAGGTCTAATTTATCTTCCAAGTTCGGGTCAATTCCGCACATCTTAAATTGTTTTGCAGTTGATACTGCCTGCAACATGGAGGGGGGGAGGGGGTGGGGAAAGGGGGCAAATTAGATGAAACAAAATAAAAATGATAATTAATTGAAGAGTTCTCAGGGGTCCATCATTCCTCTAAAGCATCAACGGTACGCTTGATAGGATCCCATCCCAATCTCGTGGATCCCCGTTTCAACTCTTTTCATAACTTCCAGTCTTTTTTTAGTTGATCTCACTTGTTCTTGAATTTTAACCTATCGAACTCTCACCATGTTTCTTTAAACTTCTTTGAAATATTTTGTCACCCTTCTTTGTTAAAGTGGTAGGTTTATTTCCAAGTTCAATCTCTTTAACTCAGAAATTGCAGAAAATGCTTGTCACATCCTTATCCCAAATTGCTGATGTAGCCCCTTCAATAACATAACCTATAAAAACAAAGCACCAATACAACCAAGGCCACTAGTATTGATAGTAAAATAAAGCACCAATAAAAACAATAACATAACCTAATAAAGAAAAACATTTTAAGCATAAAACACAAGCCACCATAAACACAACCCACATAACCCAGACCGGGAAAGCACACCCAAGCCACCATAAACAACAGTCACAGGCACCACACACAAACACACTTCACATCCACCCACACAACCAAGGCCAGAAGAGCACACTCAAGCCAACATAAACACCTCACACAGCCACCACACAAAAGCACACCTCACATCCACCACCAACCGACACACCCAAAGCCATAAGATCACACCCAAGCCACCATAAACACCACTCACATCCACCAAACACAAGCACACCATTATACCACCACCAAACCCACACCCAAGACCATGAGAGCAAATCCAAGCCACCATAAACACCACTCACATCCACAACACACAAGCACACCTCACATCCACCACCAACCCACACACCCAAAGGCGGGGGAATATTCATCCTGCTCCTCATAAGAGATTAGTTCATCCCATTATAGGCTTCAAGCAATCCAAACAAACGAAGCCAGTCAACGTGGCAAAAAAGCACAAAGGAAGAAAAAATGAAAACGAGCTGCAATGTGATTAAAAACCAAACCACACCGTGCCAAAAAAACAAAGGCAGAACAAATGAAAACAACCTACACTGTGGCAAAAAAACTTTTCAAGCCAACGTAATTTGATTCATTGTTTCCCACTGAAAAACGGCACAACAAGCCAAGGAAAATGCAATCCCTCCATATTCTTCACAAAATGTTTGCCACTACTCACATAAAACCATTATGTCGGTAACGGGGAAAGCAAGCCAAAGAAATCAAATTATGTCAATCCTTCGATTTTATTGAAAGAATTTTTGCTACTGCTCACACAAAACCAATTCATCAAGAATTTACCGCAACATTAGCCAGTTACAAAGAACCACACCTTACCGGATCGCAGAGAGGAAAAGAGAAGAACAAACATAGCTGAGAGATCCAGGGGATGAGAGCATATAAGTCAAACCTAGGGCACGGGATGAGTAGAGATCCAGGGGATGAGAGCATATAAGTCAAACCTAGGAAACGGGATGAGAATCGTAGAGAGGAAAGGAGAAAGAAGGATAATTGCAGCAGAGAGATCCAGGAGAATCGCAGAAGACAGCAGCCCTAGGGCACGGGATGAGTAGCAGGGTATTAACGCAAAGCTAAACAAGATACGCGGGCCGCGGTATTCAGCCCGCGGCCGACATGTAGTATAAGAGAATCTGTGTGGATCCTCGAACGCTTGCCAAACGCACGAAACAAACAACCTTTGTGCATTTTGAAAACACATAAGCAACAAATAAGTTGTCTCAAACAGACGGACCCTTAATTGTCGTTATAAATAAATCTAATACATATAAATAGGCAAATCTATCCTCTAGAAATTATATCAAAATAAGAAAAAAATTAATCTCAGAAACCTTCCCCCAAATCAAACAAATGGCTAAAAAATTAGTCGTTATTGGCCTAGTTTGCATGTCCTGACCGAAAATGGTCAAACGTAATTAGCTTCATTATTCTTTGTCAAGAAACTTATAAAGAATGTTAGTTAAAGCAATTTCAAAGAACTTCTCAATAAATTAATGACTAATTCAATTTAACTAAAAACAATGTAATATTACATATGAAATTGTATGTAAACAGCCCAATGAAAGTAATGACTTCAAAGTTAGCTTAAATTCATGACTTCTAACATAATTACTAAGTTAAGAAACTTAATACCTAATTAATCACAATTAACATAATTAAGTATATTTACTAAAATGTTTGGAGCAAATGAGATCAATTACACTCGTCAAATTTGAAACCACAATTAAAAAATATTGATCAAATTATAAATAAGTTTGTTTTTCTTAATAAAGAAAAAAATTATAATTAACAAAATTATATTCAATGAATAAAATTGAAATTTTCTAATCACGTAAATTTGAAAAGTCATAAGTATTTCAAGAAACTAATGAAGAGTAAATTAGGCACATCATTACAAACTATATAATAAATAATTTTAGAATTAATCAAATAGTTGGAAATGTAAGCCAACTAAATTACCAGACATTATGAAACAGTTTTTAACAATGTTTAGAATTGATAAAATTTAATCAATTTTAAATTGTGTTCATCATCCTTAAGATCTTGATAAATTCTACTCAATCATTTTCCTTAAATAATAACCAAATTCACACAGTAAACTAATAGACCTTGGATTTTTCATTATGCACTTGAGCATTCATGAATTCACCTTATTGAGTCCGACTCTAAGCAACCAAAGCTCCGAACTGGCCTAGTAAAATTCATCATCATATCCCAAGCTACTAGTAAATAAGTAAAAAACCATCAGATAAACTACACAAGATTTGATATCATCAAATTATTAATGAAACGTATGAGTCACCTATACTTCATGGAATCAACAGAGCTGCAATACATTGTTAAATTGTCATAAATCCCTTCGAGACAGCAGCTTGTATTCACTGAGCAATATGGTCACTCAAATCAGTCAGAATGTTTGGTGTTCGCATTGAAGTCAAGTTCCTTCATCATAGAGTCAAAAACAGTAAAAGTGTAAACTAGCTTTAGTTGAATTCCACCAAGGTTTCTGTCATTTAGAAATAGCTAGAAAAGGTATGAGCCTACTATATCAACAGGGCAACTCGAACATATCCAACAATCCATTGACTTGATCAAAACTACTCAAAGTTGTGATCCAAAAGGTCATTATGATCATATAAATATGTGATGCTATGTAAAAGGTCAAAAACCATGGCGTTGTCAAGCAAAATTTGATTTCCCAACTGGAAGTCGCATGCAATATTTGCTTTATTAGTTTCAATGCAGTTTATTAGCTGTACCAGCACATACCAAAAGAAAATCTACTCACATTGACAAAGTATAGTGCAAGTATTTGTACCTCAAAAAAAAAACAACAGCATTTTAAAAAAAATTCTTATATGTATAAAATGATCAAGAATTGCTATTAACAAAAATACGAACAAGACAAAAAGCCTACGACCATTTATAAGAAGGAGAAAATACACATTTAAATACACCAACAGCCTACGACCATTTATAAGAAGGAGAAAATACACAAATACTCATTTAAATACACCAAGTAAAACTCAATCATAAATGTATTTCTTGTATTAAAGATAAACACAAAAAAACATGTAGACATAAGATAAAACAAAAAGATCTTGCCATACTTGAATACAACTGAATATCAATCGAAAGGCACGCACCTCTAAATGAAACATATGGAGAGTTGAAAGTTTGAGCAATCATGTCAATATAGTGGCTTTCTTTGCTTTCCAAGGATTTTAAAACAGTCACTGCATTAACAACTAAAATGACATAATTTACTGTCCTCTTTTTCGGTAAGTAACCATGAAGTTGTTTTCCCTGGATTTTCATCTTGTTTATTTGCATATCATCATCTGTAATACTGCCACATTCAAAAACAACTCAATTTATGAAAGCCTGCAACGACTGAAAAATACAAACTTAATGCAGTCCTGATCCCCGAAAGTAAGCATCAGATCATTTAATATTTCTACTCAGCCATCAAATAACTTTATTGATATCATAAATTTTAAAAAGGGAGTACAATGCCTTGAGGATACATATATATTTTGAGATTCTAAAAAAAATATATCAATTTAATTTTAATATTTCCACTCACATTCATGTAGTCAACCATTTAAAAAGAGGTGCATAATCTTTGCTTACATAACATGGAGACAATGTTGAATACAACATGGCAAGACATGAAAAATTGTGAAATGTTTACCAACAACTACAGTATTTTGAAATTTTCAGCAAAATGCAACAATAACAACCAAATAGTCCAAACTACACAAAAAACACAGGCAATGGGAGATCACTCCTCTTCGTAATTCTTCAAACAAAAACAAAAAATGACTAAAAGATTTGCAAAACGACAATAATGAAATCATTCTGCTCCTAATGACAAAATACACCTGCCAGAAGATGAAGTACATCTAAAATATAGTAGATAAACCCATTCTTTTCAGGGTGCAAGTTGCATCAAATTTACCGATAGACATGGATAAATATTCAATTTCTACTTAGGGCTAAGAATTGCTAACTGCTTACTGATCAAATTGCCAAAGAGAGATAAAGTCCGCACAAGCAACGAAGAAACGTTGCTCTTCATAATAACCCACTTAATAAAAAAGTACAAAGTAAGAAAAAATCCAAATAAATAATCAAACTATCACAATTCTACTCTTAAAAAAAAAGAAAATGCAATGGATAATAAATACAAAATAAAATAGAAAAATCATAAGCTCCAAATTGGTGGAAACATTTATTGCATGAGAATTGCCAGAGTTGTAGAGATGCGTGCAACTTACAATAGCAACTATTGCTAGCATTTTTACTTGAACAACTCCACCTTAGCAAGTTCATTTAAGCTTTTGGCCAGACACGATCCCATTTCAAAATGCTAGCACATCATAAACTGGCACCCCCCATGCATAGAATATCAATTCAAGCAAATTTAGCATAAAATTACTCCATTTAATTGCTTCTAGACTCATATGATTGGTAGTTCAACTCTTTACATTCGTAGCTGATGAAACTAGATAAGTGAATTATGATATTGTAATTTCTACGGAAGTGCAAACCTTTCCACACCTAGCCTTTTTCTCTTTTGTAAATGCAGCTTCAATATGTTGTGAATGGATCTAATTAGAAATCTAAGATAGTAACAATCAGCATGCATCATTGGGACAAAGATAATGATGACAATTCTATAAGAAATAAGTTGTCTTGTATTGGACATAGCATGCATATGAACCATTCTTGTTAAAACCTCCCAATGAAAATATTAAGATTTATGTCATGTAGCAAGCACCATAACCAAAATGATCCAGGCAAATTAACTCACTGGATGACCATCTCTCCATGTACTACACCAGTGGTCATCCATTCCATGAGTAAATCAGAATTTTCTGGCGGTATTGATGACAAGCTCCGAGTGTCATAAACACACAGTGTGCCTGAGTTCCTTGGAATTGGGTATTCCTGTAAGAAGCAGGTACCCTCCCGTGCTCTGCCATCTGCAATTGTCAACAAAAACAAGTAAAAAAACACCAACAAAGCCTTCACAAAAATAGTTTATGTATCTAGAAAGACACTCACATGACACTTGAGCTCGTTCAATCCCTGAAGGATTCTCCTCAAAGACTATAGTAATTCTATTCACAAGACTACTCTTCCCTGACCACTGAGGCGCAATAAGGAGCAATGTTGTGGTTTCGGGAATATCATAGTTCTCCGCAGCCAAACCAGCAACTTCCTCGATCCAATCACCAGGTTTGTGCCTAACAAGAAAACATTGAATCATATCAAACCTTAAGGTTTATGAAACAGATAAGACCAATTCAATCAATTGAAATTAAAAATTATACTGTAAAAAATAATGAATTTAATACATTCTATCATTTGCTTGGTGTAGCTAGAAATCAATTTAAATTCTACGGGATTGTTTGGTGGCAAACTTTAGCCAGAAAATAAGATGGATTTAGGCCAAATACAGCCAAATGAAATTGTTAGGCCTTCTTAAATCTTGGATTTTTAACTTTCTTGGATTTAATAAATCCTGTCCACGCAGCGTTTAAGGGAGTTACTAAAGCTCTAGTTGTAATGATATAGTAAGTCCATGCTTAACATCCAAGAAATCTGTAGGAATAAAAATATCAACAACCAAACAATTTTCAATAACTAACACTCCCAAGTTCCACAGAATCCAAATTAACAGGATTTACTAAATCCTACCTTCTGTTAAACAGGCTATGAAAAACTTTAAAACCCCTCAAATGTTGTGTTTTTATTATCACACACAAATGAAACATCATTTTTTTTTAAAACATAGTCTTCATCTTCATGCAACGATAAAAGCCCTAACAGCAAAAATAGTATCCATCGGAGGACCTTAGAATGGCGAGCTTCTCATCATCTAAGGTGCGGCGCGAACGTGCTTTAGAGCTGCTATACGTTTCCATTAGGGCCGTGAAAATCTGGCTGCGTCGCTCAGTTTCGAATGCACTCTGCGACGATGGAGACGACTCGCACTGGGAGTAATCCGAGTGCTCTGTGTCAGTTGGACAGGATATGATGGAGGGTTTGGGGTGCGACTCAGGATGGGCTGTAGTGTGAAAAGAGGAATTGGGAAGACATTTTCCACCACCACCCATTTCCAGATTTTCTCTTTCTCTGCGACTGTGCTGAAAAACAGAAATCTATTCTGCTTTCGAGCTGTGCGGAAGAGGAAGTATCTCTGATTTGAATTCGCAAGAATGATGGAGCGGGAGTTCCAAGATTTGAGCCCGCAACTTCGACTTGCAATTGGAAAGCATGAAAAGATAAGAAATTTGTGGAGAAACAGAACGTATGCAAGAGTCCGACAGCTTTTTAACTATGTTAAAAGAACTCCTCGCAAATCTCACACTCCTAGTGGCTACAAAAATATTATAAATACTTGGAATATTTACATTCAATTCTTATGTATTTACATGCATCTAAGAGCTAAACTTTAATTTTTATACATACACCATATTGCCTACTATGCATGAAAAAATGTATTTTAACATTTAAAACTTAAAATTACAATTCTCTCATGTGATATGAAAATTTTGGAGCATATAAAAGTTAAAAAAAAAAAAGTTTACATGAAACTACTCATTTAGGCCTATCTTGTCTATCACTAGTAGGGCTGTCAAAACGGTTCGTTGTTCACGAACAACTCGTGTTCGACTTGTTAAGAAGCTTGTGTTTGGCCCGTTAATTTCGTTCAATAAGTTAATGAGTCAAACACAAACTAAGATGTGTTCGGCTCGTT